TTGGCAAAACCGAAAAATATTTTTTAGGTCATTAATGAAGACATTAAAAAGGAATGTGGGACACCAGATGTCACAACAGTCTCTAACGAAATGTAATTTTTAACTTTGACTGATTGCTTCCGGTTAGTGCTATTACTGCGAAACCAATTTCGAAGGTCTCCAAAGATTCCCATCCCTGAGAGCTTACTTGATACCCATTCTCAAAGGCCCCCAACAGTGAACGCTCATAGCTCAGGAGGTTCGAAACAGTTGACCTTCCCTTGACAAAACCATGCTGTTCGGTTATAATAACGGAAATAACGAAAACAAGCAGATTTTAGAGATAGCATAAAAGCATCCATAACTATTAGATTATCTGGGAGCAGTTGAGAAAAGCAAGAACCTTAAGAACATTCCAACTCGTTGCTTTTTCACTCAAAATTTGAACAAAAAAAAACTTCAAACTGGCGCAAACACGTAAACAATTTAGCTACCGCAACTACAATGGAATAGTGCCATAGAATCCATAGATGAGTTCCCACACACTGCCATTTCCATCGTGACGTCACAAGGCGTTTTCGTATGACGTTATATTTAAAGCGCTCTGGATGAACTCTAAGCCCTGAATTTTAATAGAAATAATTTTTATCAGGTAAAATTCAACATTTTTTCAATCTCAAACATTTTAAAATTCACGCAAGGGGCCTATTTTGATGGTCATGTTACTTGTGATGTCAACATGCCGGCGGAAAACTAATGGTCGTAGAAAAAGTATAGTATTCAACACGTTGATCAACTTATTCAGTCACTTTTCTTCAAACTCTTGGCTGAACATAATATGTTATTAAAAAGCAAAATCCAACAAAATAGTCACACATATTTTGCTTAAAAAAATGCTCGGTGTCCACCACCAAAGAATTATCAGTTAAGAGGTAAGCATTTTTTTAACAGCAATTTCGATCTGATAAAAACATCGTGTCTACCGGGCCTAATATTCAAAGAGTCTACGCCAATATTAGATAGTGTTCTGCGACAAATGATAAGTACTTGATGGTTGCTATGGTGTCTTCGTACTTGGTTCATACGCTAACAAACCTTATCAGCGAAGTTTATTTATTTTAACTGTGTTTATATCGCAACATTTTAAAATTAATTAGTTTGTAGCAGGTCCCAAGCCCGGTTGAGAGAGGAGGAGGGTGAAAAAGCTGACTTCGGATCTTGTGATACTCATTGATGCCCATAAGTGGGTATCACAAATACCAAGAAACGTCCCAAACAATAGAAGACCTAACACACGGTCAGCAAATTTAATCTAAGAATGACATGGGTCTTTAGCACGAGTCTTTAGCACCGAAAATCTGGAGCCGCTTGGCTAAGGATAGAAGGCCCCTACAGAAATCTTTCCGGTCCACCAGGATTGGAGGTTGTGCCGATGGGCCTGCTCCCCATCACACGAAAAAAAAATGCATTGCAAAAAGTTCTAGAAAGAAAACGCCGTACAGATTTAATGGAAAACGACCCAGCTTACGGAAAAACTTAACGAGTTTTGGAACGTGGAATGTGCAAGGTACTCGAACTAAACTAGATCAGGTACTAAAATAAATCAAGAGATTTAAATTAGATGTAACAGTCCTTATAGAGACCAAAAAGAAAGGAAAAGGTTCTGAAGAGTTTAGAGACTTTGTTCATTTCTATAGTGGAGTAGGAAAAGACAGAAGAGCGGCTGCAGGTGTAAGTATACTGATAACGAAAAAGCTGTCACGAAACATTAAACAAATAAATGAGAGGCTAATAAAAGTTGAGATGAAGCTTCAAGGACATAACTTAGAGGTAGTGGGCGCATATGCACCTTCTGGAGATGAGAAGCACGAAGTAAAAGATACATTTGAGGATGAAATGACAGACTTGGTAGAAAATATTTGAACCACTAAGTAATTAAAATGCCAGAACTGGAAGGAAAGTATATAACAATGTTGTCGGTCCATTTGGTGAGGAAAAAATAAACAAAAACGGTGAAAGACCAATAAGTGTTGCAATGAATGAATACTACCAACACTACCATAAATACACGTGGCCTTAACCTACGAGAAATCTGAAATCAATAATAGATTATTGTCTTTGCAAAGAAAATTCCAAAATGAAGGTTAATAACGTTAGAGTTCATCGAGGAGTAGGGTGTGGAATTGATAAACATTTACTTAGCGTCACTACTATGCACATTTAAAGGTTCAACGATATTGCAAGACATCTCAACCAGGAGATATAACCTACAAAGATTTGAAAACGAGTCCACCCAGTTTCTATATCGAATGAGATTGAGCTTGAAATTAAACTATGTCTCTTACTCCTCACCAATTAGTACGTATAACAAAATTATTAAAGCTCTTGACGAAGCAGCGATGGAAGCTATTGGAGAAGTGGATAGTAAAAAGAATAAAAATGAATGGTGGAATAAAGAAATAGAAGATCTTGTGAGGAAGAAGAAAGCTATGTATAATAAGTGGTTAGCAACAAAGAATATTTACGATCGACAACAGAAAAGCGAGAAGTAAAAAAAACGTAAATAAAGTTAAAAATGATATGTGGAATAATGCCTGCGATAACGCAGAGAAGTTATTGGGCAACGCAAGAAGTAAAGAAGCCTGGCAAAATTAAAGGTAGTAGAACAGAAGATGGAACAAAACTTAACGATATTAACCATGAAAAACATGATATTTCCTACTGCAAAGAAACTGAAATAACACCAGAAGAAATTAAAAAACACGCCAGTAGTATGATAAATAGAAAGAATTCAGGACCAGGTGAGTACCCATAGAGTAATTAAATATGGTCCTGACAATTTATTGCAGTTATTGGCTTATACTTTTAACTTATTTCTGAGAGGGAAAGAAATACCTACAGAATGGAAAACTGCATACAACTGCAATATATACAAGAAAAAAGGTAACAGAAAGGCGTGTACAAATTACCGGGGGCTTGGTGTAACCAAGTCAATTTGCAGGTTGTATGGGAAGATATTAAAAGCATAATTGAAGATTGTTGGGAGGACGCTGAAGATCATAACGGCTTTCGTGCCGGGCGTTCTTGTATAGACGACGTATTTAGCCTAAAAGAAACATTAGAAAAGCGCTTGGAAAGCCAAATATGGTATTCATTGATCTTCAAAAAGCGTACGATACCGTCCCCTTAACTAAGCTGTGGCATGTGTTAGTAGGTAAAAAAAAATCCATTATCATACATTAATGCAGTGAAGGAGTTATACGACGATATGGCGAGTCTAATAAAGATTGGGCAAAAAGTAATCAGAAAGATAAAGGTGACCAAAGGGCTTCGACAAGGCTGCTGCATTGCACCTACACTCCTTAAGATCTATTTGGAGGGGCCCTTGAAAATCTGGAAAAGAAAATGTGAACCGATGGGTATTCCAATTGAAGATCATAAGCTTTATAGCCTTCATTTTGCATATGACCAAGTAATCTTTGCAGAAGATGAGGAAGATATTTACTACATTTTGTGAAAAATGGATGAAGAATATAGCAAGTAGGGTTTAACACTTAACCCAACAAAAACGAAGTATGTAGGGGTGGGAAACGAAGGACGGCATTTAGAATTAAGAGGCACACAAATTAAAAACGTTGATAGTTACAAATACCTTGGTGTACGAATAACAAATGATGGTCATAACACAAAGGAAATAGCAACTAGAATTGCACAAAGTAATACAGCAAACGCCGACTAAACAATATGCTCTGGAATAACCACATCACTCGGAACACAAAAATTAGAATATATAAAAGTATCATTGAAAGAATTTGAAAATAAACATATGGAGCAGAGCTTTGGGTAATAAATAAAAAAGACGCCTCCAAAATAAAAGCTATGGAAATGAATGTTGGTGCACCGCTAACTAGGCTAAAACGACTGTTACAGTGGATCCCCATCAATCTCAGAAAAAGAGGTAGACCAAGAAAATCGTGGAATAAAGAAGTAAACTGTACAATGGTGGATAGAGGACTACAAGCACATGACTGGAATGATCGGAAGCGTTGGAAGCTAAGATGCAAGAAAGGGCGACAGCTGTAAAAAAACTCCTTGTTATATATAATAATTTGTAAACTATACAATTTAAGCGTCTATGCGGGTATAAGAAATGATCGAAAGTTTTATCTATAGACTCGACCCACGGGTCACCTAATATATTGAAAACTGCAAAATTGCTCCTTCTGCTCCTACCCCCCTCCCTTTCCGCCCCGCCGCTGTTCGGGGAAAGAAGCGAGAGAACCGAAATGAAACTGCTAAGTGCTCGGTGCAATCCAAACGTGTAAAAATAATGATTACTAATTATACGTTTGGACGGCCAGTTGTAATATAATGCTTTTAGCGTTTTTGAGCTGCTACGTCTTGCTTAGGTCATTTGGTGGGGGCGGTGTTGCCGCGTTTGTCTGATGTTTAACGGGTCTGCGTGTAGTGGTTACATGTCTATACATCATATAGGCAGAAACGAAAAAAAAAATACTTTTCGGTGTTTCCCAAGTTCCGGTAAAAAATTTTTCTAACAATCGACCCTCGTGGTTTGAAAATATTACATTGCGCAATGTATACGGAACCATTCTTCAGTGTTTTTTTTTCTATGAATCGTTTTTTATTTTACTCCTTTTTTTTTAATTTCCGATATTTTGGCGACGTTCGTCGCCTCACTTGGCATCGAACTCGCTTTTATTTTATTTATTCTTTTTATTTTAAACACCCCGGCGCGTATCCCGGTGACCGTTCGCGAAATAGACAAGACAATGGTCGGTTTCCGCGCGCGGTGGTACCGAACAATGGGGCCCTTTTGGCTGTCGCCGCCGTCGTCGTCGTCGCCGTCCCTTTCGCCGCGTCCCATACCTGCAGGTCGCCGAAGAGAAGACACCGCCGTGCGCGCGGAGAAGGGGAACGCTTTGGAATGCGGGACGGGAGGTGGTGGGGGGGAAGCCGCGGCAGTACCGGCAGCCCGATCTCGCCTCAGTCCATCTCAAGGAACGGCCGAGAACGGGGTACCTATGTCCGCCGTGATTCACCAAAAGTACCCCCACATAACCGCCTCCCCCTGCGTTCTAAAAGTTTCCCCGTTCGTACCGTCGTCGCGAAGTGGTGCGAGTGTGTGTGAGTGTGCGTGCGCGTAGTACCGCCGCCCCCCAAGCAGACATGAACTGTCGCTGAGAGTGCGGAACCGCCGAGATTTGCTTGACACAGGTATATTATGCGTTATGGCTGCGGTGTTACACGCGAGCGTTACTGGGCCGCCCCACGGAACCGACTGGGTCGTACCTTTTGGAGGTGGTAAACGTAGGGCGAAAGGTATCGCCAAAAGAAATTCCACGCGGATGCGACCGTTTGGAGATAACATTCTTTTAATTTTTCTCGGGACCGACGGTACGACCGGTATGGGCGCCCCGATATTGTGAGAGAGTAATAAAATATTGGCAATTTAACTCTCGGATGCTATGTCGCTAACGACAATCGTAAAGCAGGTCGATTCGAATTCGTCGGCTTAGAACAGAGTCGAGCTCACGTTATTCCAAGCAAATACCACATATTTTAGTGGACTTTTTCAGAACCGGGGTTAGTTACTAGGATTAGTCAACCAATATCAGCGATTGTTCCTATAAAACATTATACTATACCACCCATGAGTTTCACGAGTTTAGAAAGACACAATAATAAAAACCCTCTTCTGTTCTCTACCAAATAATATGTAAATCTCTTTCCTTGCTTTAACATTCCCGTTTTTTTTTTCATTTTCTTATAATTGGTGTTATGATGTGGTGGATAATTTCAAAATAGAATGTCAACAGTCCAATTTGATTTGATGATTTGCTTAATTAAATAACTGCGTAATATTCAGTTACGGCGCGTTTTCGTGAAAAAATGAAATCTGCCTTCAAGTGCATATCTTAAATACGATAGAATTTTTAATGACAATCTATTTAGTCTTTAAATAGATATTCTTATTCCCTAAGGTATTTTGGCAAAAAAAAACATTTTCGTTTAAACAACCAAACACTTTCGTGTAGATATATCAAAAACCTTTCCTTGCATTTTCGAAGTTATCTTTTGGGCCGCACTACCAGTAGTGGCAGTTTCTGCGTACCTTTTATTATGACGAAGACTTATTTACTCTTGATTAGTCCATACATTAATATTAATAATAATATAAACCTATTTTCATTGCTCTCTTATAATTCTGGGGCGACTATATATAATATATAATAACGCATTGCTGTTATTCGTGGGTAAGAGCATAATAATTAATATTTTTGGCTAAATCATTTTTTGTAAAAAATGTTAGAAGTTGGCTCGGATGATACTGCACTTTGCCGGGTACCTTTGAGAGCCAAAAAGGCGAGATATTTTTGTATACCTGCATCTCGAGGGTGGGTTACGTTGGAAGGATCTCCGCAAATGCGGTCCCATGAAGCGTGAAAATATTTGAAACTCAACGACTGTTCTCGATGTTGTTGTATATATAAATGCATTGTTCTAAAATAAAAGGTTTTTAAGATTTTATAATTTATAATAAAAAAAGGGTTCGTGGCACAGTCAGATTTAAAACTATAAATTGCTTATTGTACTATTTTATATTACAAAAAATTATAAGCCACTTAACCAAATTTTTTACATTAATAATATGTAATTACAATAATGTCACGAGAACGTTCATGATGGGGTTAGTCAAGTTAGATAAGGATTGTAATTCCTACGATCTTATCCATCAGAGTTGTACTATTTTACTATTTCATTTCATAAATAATATGGTTATTCGCTTTTTGTTTGTAATGTGCTTTACAAAACCCGAGCGGAACATTTCGCACAGACTGCAAAAGCAAAACAATCTAGACTTACCGTTCATATTTAAACCAAATTTTTGTTTGTTGGCACCCAAAGATAGATAAATCGGGTTTAATTCGCAAAGTCTGAAATACCATGTATAACACGATGGTTTGTATTTTTTTTTACACTGAGGACGGGTCCAAGTAAAAAAGTATGAACGATATGTCAGGCGACGAACCCGCACTGTCGCGAGCAACTTCGGACATTTCCGGTGCTTTATTCGCGGCCTTGGGGGCGATCGGATGTTTTCGGTAGATTTTAGTCATTCCATTGATAAGCTTCTTCATTTAGTTATTTATTAGCACTCCGCTTGTGGTAAATCAAACTAGTGAATGAAGTAGTGTTTATCAAAATTGTTGCATAATATACTGAATATACGGGTTTTTGTACGAAATTCAACCTTATTAAACCGAGAACCGAAAAATAATCGACATTCGCGCCATTTAATTAGCCCGACTACTTATTCAAATGAAGTATTTGACTAGTCAATTAAAATTATAATGCGCTAGGCGTATAATGACGTGTGGGTTCCACGTAAAAAAATCATTCAGTTCGTTCGCTGTTACATAATAATATTTATGCGAAATATTACACCTGCATTTAGAAATTTGTCGAACATATCGATCTCTTTGATATTACACTTTTCGTAATTTTTTAATTGTAAATCGTCGGTACCGCATGCAAAAGATGACTTCCTGCGGAAAATAAAATACGTTGCAAATATTTCGTGTACATTATTAGAAGTAAACGTAGACCGAGCATACAGGGCGTTTCCTAATTGAATGTCAAGTTTCGCTTTTGAGAAACAGGGAGGTAAATCGCTTTTTAATTATTATCTGAAAAACCATTCCAGACAAAATTGAATTTTTTATATAGTGCGTTTCGCTGACAACGCAACCAAAAACGAATGCTTTAAAAACTTCTCGCTGTGTATATTTCAGCTTCCGTCTTACGCGGACTAAAGTGCATTCAACCCTCCCGTCTGTTCCAGAATATGCGCGGGTGCGTCTACCAGTGACGGCGTATCGAAAAATGTCCCCGTGCCGGCTGGCGGGTTATTTCTTTCTCGTCGTCGCCGTCGTCGCCGCGACGGAGCACACCCGCGACCTGGAGATATCGGAGGGCGCCGCCGTCGGCACCAAGATCGGTTTTATCGGGGACGGGGTCGCGTCGGGGCCGCCCTACCTCATCGTCCCGGTCGGTAGCCACGTCGACACTGATCTCCAGATCGATCACACGACCGGCGAGATACGCACGAAAGTTCCGTTGGACAGGGAGACTCGAGCCAGTTACTCCCTAGTCGCGATACCGATGAGCGGCGACAACGTTAAAGTCATCGTCAAGGTCTCCGACGAGAACGATAACGCGCCTACGTTCCCGACGCCGATCGTCCACATCGAGTTTCCCGAAAACACACCGCGCGACGTCAAGAGGACGCTGCCGCCCGCCAAAGACCTCGACCTCGACCTGTACAACACGCAGAAGTACAACATCGTGTCGGGCAACAAAAACAACGCATTCCGACTGTCGTCGCATCGCGAAAGAGACGGCGTCCTTTACCTGGACCTCCAAATCAACGGATTCCTCGATAGGGAGACGTGCGATTCCTATAACCTGGTGATCGAAGCTTTGGACGGTGGTTCGCCGCCTCTCCGAGGCGAAATGACGGTCAACATCACTATCCAGGACGTGAACGATAACCCGCCGGTGTTTAACCAGACCCGGTACTTCGCCTCGGTGCCGGAAAACTCGACCGTGGGTACTGCCGTAATGCAGGTGTCGGCCAGCGACGCGGATATCGGCGACAACAGCCGCGTGGAGTATTCCATCAACAGGCGACAGAGCGACAAGGAGACGATGTTCAAGATAGACGCCGCCACGGGCACGATAAGCGTGAACAAACCGCTCGACTTTGAAACGAAAGAGTTGCACGAGTTGGTCGTCGTCGCCAGAGACCGGGGGCTGCAGCCGCTCGAGGCGACGACGTTCGTTTCGATCAAAGTGGTGGACGTCAACGACAACCAGCCCACGATCAACGTCATTTTCCTGAGCGACGACGCGACGCCCAAAATCAGCGAGTCGGCGCAACCGGGCGAGTTCGTCGCTAGGATCAGCGTCCGGGATCCTGACTCGAAGCAGGATTACGCCAACGTTAACGTGACGCTGAGCGGCGGAGACGGCAAATTCGGTCTGACCACCCGCGATAACGTCGTGTACCTGGTGATCGTGTCGTTGCCACTCGACAGGGAATCGCAGCCCAATTATACGTTAAACGTTGTCGCGACGGATACGGGGACGCCGCCCTTGCACGCGTCCAAAACTATAAACCTTCGCGTGACCGACGTCAACGATAACTCACCGAGATTCGAAAGGGATTCGTACGACGCGAACGTGATGGAAGTGTCCGACCCGGGTACTTCGGTGGTGCGGGTAATCGCGAGCGACGAGGACGACGGCGACAACGGCGTCGTAACGTACTCACTGAGGGACCCAAGGGGATGGTTTCAAATCGACCCGAAGAGCGGGTTGGTGACGACGCGCGCGCACGTCGATTGCGAAACGGATCCGTTGCCGAAACTAACTGTGGTGGCTACCGATAACGGCTTCCCTCCGTTGTCGTCGACCGCGACGGTCCTGGTGACGATACACGATGTCAACGACAACGAACCGATCTTCGATCAAAGCTTTTACAACGTGTCGGTCGCCGAAAACGAAACGGAAGGGAAATGTGTCCTGAAGGTGAGTCTCGGCGATCAGATAAATCGTTACATTGTTGCGCGAAATTTCGGGTTTCGGAAGTGTCGTTATCCATGCAGGCCGCCCCCGGCGCTACGGGGACGTAATGACGGTAATTTCGGGCGGCGGCAACTGCGCGCGCGCGCGTCCGCGTGACACACGGCCCGTCGTAGAGTAGGAACCAACTGAAAAGATGCCGCGGGCGTCATCTACTACTTATCGTTCGTCTCGCTTTAAAATAACTCGTTGCACTTCTTCCGACCCGATTAACATGTAATTGTCATAAATCGAGGGATTTCATTGTTTTACTTAAGTATAGCATATTTGATATTGATATGGAATTGATAAATAAGAGTGAGGTAACGTCGACGGTGACCTTATCATATTTTGCGATGCCCCACAAGTTCTAAAGTATAGTTCATCGTCGTGACAAGCTACTGACTCAGAAATAAGCTTGGAAGTTAAGCCATATTTTCGATTGTTCGACTACTAAAGTCGCCTCAGTTGCGTCATTCTAGTTGATAACTAAGTCTAGATGCCGATTTCGGCTACTTAACGCACATTAACCTCAAAAGTAGTGTGAAAAACAGTGTTTTGATATTTTCAAATCTTCTGGATTCCTTTTGCGTTGGTTGTTAAGGAATCGAACTTGCTGACCTCTTGCCAATCATCTTGTTCGAAGATTTATTCAAATAACGAAATGGGAACCTAGAAGATTGGTAAATAGTAGTGTAATGACCTGTGAAAATTTCTTTGAAAAAACAGTTTTTTGCTTTCCAGTATGATAAAATGTGGTGTGGTAAATCACTACCAAACCTTAAACGGGAGATGCTCGATACAAATGCCTAAATAACTAATAAATAAAACCTTTTTAAATACATTGAATTATCGAGTAAGTTATTATTTTGTTAAGAGCAAAACCTTTTTGCGGTGCTGATGAACCATTTTCTTTTGTAATTTGAATTGATTAAACTAATTGTGTTACATTTAAAAAATTAACAATGTTTGTACCAAAAATGAATCGGGAACATTTTGTCATGTTAGCAGACAAAGTAATAACACCGACTAATCAGTCTCATTTTAATTAAAGCAAAATTAATCGAGAATTTTTCCGGAATAGATTTATTCATTAATGTTATTTAATATGAAAAGTACCAATGTGACAGTGATCGTCTTAACCGAATATATTGCAGGTCGCAAAAATAATTAATTATTTAATTAAATTAATACTTTATCTAATTAATCATTGAAGGCAAAAAAAATATTGGGCAAATTTAATTAATAATGATAATAGTAATTTATTAATTTAATTTCAAGAATCCAAACAACATTCATCCCCATCTTGTCCTACGTTTACTTTCTTACCTCTCAGTTTATTCGAAAATAGTCCTGGTGACGTAACATCTGAAAATAGACCCAATGGTAAAATTTGGCGTATATGGTGTATGTCATAGCTATTACATAATACCGTGGCCCTATCAAGTTTTCATGCCTTTAAATTTCACCCACCAATCTGCACTGTGAACCATTTTCTTTCTAAATAGACCTATCCCCAAAGTTAACTCCTTTTTGCACTTAATAGAATCTGGACATATTTTGAGAAAATACTGGCGTAACAATGTCACATCCAGACTTATTGAGGATCTGTCAGCTGTTGAATGCCGCTTGCGCATATTGAATTACTTTCGGACTTGATGGGTAGTAAAAATTTCTTTCTACTCCCGTCTGTAAAATTTCTAATTACCCACCGATCTAGCGTGCGAACGTCACTTTACCACGTCAGATTCGTTTCCCATGAATCCGAGCCACTTCGGACATTTTCGTCATTTTACCGCACGGATTTGGGAGCAATCGAATGTTTTCGGAGATATTTCCCACGCTTTGAATTTTGACGTTTGGCAATTCTGACGGTCATGTCAGTGAATGTATTCGTGTTGTTTTGCGAAAATGTATCCAAAAACTAACGGTCGTAGAAAAAGTATAGTATGCAACACGTTCGGTAAATTTTTTAACTCACTCGTTTATTCAAAACTCGCTCCGCTCGTGTCAAATAAACTCGTGAGTCAAATGACGTTTACCGCACTTGTTGCATAATATACTATGAAAGTTGATTGTAGTTTTGTGTTTTGGAAAATGGTTGTTAACACACTTAGAATGACTCAGAAAATTTCGATCTTACTTCGATTTCTGTAGAATCAGAAAAACCTCTGATTTGTGCCGGATAGCACCGGTAAAACGAGGTAAAAAAAAGGACCTCGACTTACCAATCAATATAACATGGATTGATACTGACATCGACATATATTTTTCGACCGAGTGAAGGAAAGGAAATATTTTTAAAGGAAAATTAACAAATTCCATAGTTTCTACGTTTCTACGACGTGGGATCGAAGCTCCGTGTTTATTTGAGAACGGTCCACAATTTTTATTTATTCGTTTCGTATGCCAAGCGTGTTAGTTTAACAATACTAGAATTATTTGCAAGAAAATGACTTTGGGAATTAACTATACGCTTGTTTCGAATATCCGAACGTCTGCTGCTTCGCCGCATCGCCAAACGAGGCAGTAAAAATGATATACGCGTCGTGTGCGATTGTACACGCTTGTATTTTGTGGCGATCGCCTATTGTACTGGGTGTTCCGCAATACGGCGAATATTATTTCCAACGATCGTCGACGTTTGTGTGGGAACGATTATCGCAAAGTGGTTGTGGCGTTTGTTCCCTCCTCTATCGCCGGGCAATTTATAAAACCGTGTGCCTAAATATGATATCCATATACCTGTATACAAACTAGATGGCTTATTAGAAGTATATGGAGATTGGACAAATATACTTTTAAAAATTGGGTTGCTGCCATAGGCGACTACGATCTCAAATTTTTAAATATTTAAAAAAGTGCAACGCTGCCGCATTCATTGTTCTAAAAAACTTGAGCCTGAGAACACCTATGAAAATAATAAATCTGGTAATCTGGAATTTTGTTACTTGTCAATAGGGTGCTGTTATGAAATGAGATTTAAGCTATCGTATACAAGGTCTTTACAAAATTATGCATATTTGACAAATATTTAAATGTTAATTAAGCTTGAATTTTAAATAGAACCCTCTGTATCTAAAAGGAATGATTCATTCTTTATCTAAAAGTATTGTAACACGCTACATTTAGTTTGAAACGTTTTAGAGTTAAAAGCAAAAAGCTAAAATAATGTAATTTCAGAAGTAAATGTGACTCACGAAATGACTGTTTTAGTATTGAATTGAATTAGGTAGTACCTAACCAGCATTTTGACCTAGCACTTAATGTGTCACAGGCGACCCGACGTCCGAAGTCTGATAATTACCAATTTTACACCTAAATCAAGCCAACAGATTTGGATCGCCATGACATCGGCTGCTGACTTTATTTAAATGTATATGTGAACTAAAACTGACGTTAAAAATTCTGTACTAAATATCATAGTTCAATATAATTCTACTTCTTTGGGTATCTTGATACACCAATCTGTAAATATTTCTTCTTCTCTTTTTATCTGACAAAGTTACAAGACGATTTATGAAAGAACGAGAATATAATAGTGAACCAAAACAAAATCCTTAGTGAAATATTTTTACGATGGACATTTTACTGATAAAAAATCTAAATTTTTATAATAACAGTTTTTTTAATCAGTCTTAATTCGCAAAGTAAGAAATAACCATAACATCTTGAAAAAGTTCGTTAACTGATTGGAAAAAATAGCGTAGTAACTAAATGTACTTAATAATAACTAATATTTAGTGCCGGTTAATAAAAATACCACGAAAAAGCCGTCTTCCGGACATGGGCAGGTCAGCAGCAAAATAGCACCCTGGAGTCATTTCAGCTACTGCAGTTCAACCACAGATCGAAGTCGCCAACGAAAATTAAATGTCATCAAGTCAATCAAGTGTGCGTTTCTTGCGGGTTTGTAATTGCCTCTTACATATTTTTTTGCATAAATCGATCACTGTAAGGTGGTTTATGTGAAAGAATTGAGTGAGGTGGAACCAGTATCGTGTCAACGGAAGGGAATATTACCGCTTCCTAGTTAATTATTGGTACTTTGAAAGTAGTCATGCACATCATCATTTTAATCAACATCTATGTTGTCATCTCGTTTATGGTTATCAGTTGTTGGAATTTTTTTTAGGTATTAAAAGAAAAAAGTACTATTAGTTAAATTTAAGGGAGCAGATATGTTTAAAACACTTTCATTAAAATTACTTACCTCACTTGCCGTTTCTGATCCCAACTTTGTTTTTTTTTTTCGACAAAAAGGATTTGTGTGTCGATAGAAGACATTATTAAATAAAAAAATAAATTGTTCAAAATCAAGAGAACAGGACAAGTCTGGTTACGGCTGTTTGATCCATGTGATACTAAGATAACATCATCTATGTTTTACCAAGTTTAACATAATATCACTGCCAGAAAATCATACTGCGGCCGACGTAAAGTGCATTATACGATGTTTGGGCAACATTCTTCGAATGCACAAAAATCGGACATTCCAAATTAATGACGTTAATATCGTCAGTCTGTCGTTAATGGTTGTACCATCAAAAATATCCGCCACAATCCGACGTCTAATCTGCATTCAACGAATTAGTCACCGACCTACGTCTACGCGACTCTAACGTACTTTACTTCAAAAACTAGTTTATCTCAACTTACATAAAAATAACCCAAATTATTCTTGGACAAACGATTAAACTTATTATTATTAAAATTATCTTAATATTGTAATGTTATATCCAAATAACTATTTATTAATACAACAAACAACCAAAAAGGTTTTCAAAGAAACTTGTGTGGTAGTTTATAGATTTCTGTAGATTCTTATAGAAATCTATAAGCATCCGAGACAATGATCATTCCCCTCTCAAACAATATATAAGTAGCTACACAGTAGAATGTGACACAGTTTCATGATCAACAGAAAGCAGTTGTACTTCAGAAAAATCTCATCACGTTAAGTTCCC